GAGGAGGAGGAGGAGGAGGAGGAGGAGGAGGAGGAGGAGGTGAGGTGAGGTAGGAGGTGAGGTGAGGTGAGGAGAGTGAGGTGAGGAGAGGGAGGAAAGCGAATGACTAGCAAGTTGCTTTGCACTGCTTGAAGGAGGGAGGGTGCGGGGAGAGCGAGAAGAGAAGAATAAAAGGAGCTAAGAAACAAGGTGAAATTTATAAGACTGCCTAGTCTAGCTAGACCACAATAGTGTTGAGAGTAGTAGTTAGTACATACTGTGTCGTGAGTGTACACAGTATGTACATGATGCCATGCCATGTGCGGGCTGGCTGACTGACGGCCTTGACTTGGTCTAAATTCAATGCCGCTAACCGAACTTATAAGTTATAAATCATACCAAGCCCCATCCCGAAGCTAAGCTGGGAGGGAGACAAGAGGAGTCAGAGGGGGGTTGCTAGGCAATTCTTACAAGTTGCTTGAAAGATTCGAGGTCTGGTAGTAAGGCTGAAGCTGAAGGAACTACTCTGACCGTGAGAGTGTCATTTGAACACTGTTCTTAGTACTCGGTAATAGTTGACTAACTTCACTTCACTTCTTCATGATGACATCAGCTTTTGCCGGCTGATGTCACACTCTTTCTCCTGCTAAACTACGACTCTCGCCTGCTACTGTACCGAGTACTCCATACACACTGTATGTACGGAGAACTCACTCTACAACTTCAGAATTCTTCTCATCCACGGATGAGCCCGGCATATGCTTTGATGGGTTACAGTCGATCCTCCATCATCATCGTCATTACCCCCCTCCCTCCTTCCGGAGAAGATGTTTCAATCTTCCTCTTCCCTTCTTTCTTATTAAACTTTATCCTCTCTCGCTCTCTCTCCTGTTTCCTTCTTTTTCTTTCTCTTGTCACCACTTAATATTTCACTCAAGTAATGTCTTGTTCTCGTCTCCTACGGCGGTCATTATCAAATCATGGCCATTGTTGAACGCCCTACTACTTCCACCACCACCACCACTACTGCAACACTACCGCGTTCCCGCTCCGTGCGTCTGGCGGGTCAAGGTAAGATCGGCGTCCCCTCCGATCGCCTTGCTTAATGCTCCTGCTCTCATTCCTCTTAATCAAAACTGCCATTTCCCCATTGTTTCGTAATAATAATGATGATTTTAATGGTAATGCTAAAATGATTTAACAAATTTCTTTCCCCAGCTGCCACGGCCGCCTTGTATGTCACCCATCCGGAGCGAAGATTGTCGGTGCGTGAGCCTTCCGCCGCCGAAACAGAACGCCTGAGTAAGTTGTTTCGTCCGACCTTGCCAAATGATCTCAATTCCTTTCAATAACACTTGCACCATAATACCGTAGCCTTGAAGGCAACTGGTTCTCGCCCTGGCTTCAGCCATGCGTCAGCTGTCGCCGCCCTCGCTCATGCTAGAAAGGAAGCTGCCACAGTTCCGGTCGTTGAACATCATCGCACCTCGGACTCTCGTAGCCAGGAAGGCTATAAGGCAGCCGCTTACGTCTTCGGAAACCGTCAATCACCCTCAGCGCGCTCTCGCGCTGCTTCCGATTTCAAGCAAGACTTGGTTGCAGCGGATCCGTTGGCTGGACGTGATCTAGACGATCGTGAGAAGGCTCTTCGTGCCGCCACCGGTGCGTTGAACGGCAGCCGGCGACGAGCCGATTCGGCGCCTACAGATACCCCTCATGTCGGAGTAAGCAGCGATGAAGTCCTCGGAGACCTGGACAGTTCCATGGAGGCAAGCCGAATTCAGCACATTGCGAACACCAACGCGCGCCTTTACACCGCTTCTCCGCCGGTTTCTCCAGAGCGAGAGGAGCACAAGCGAAGAAGCGTCATGCAAGCAGCTGCCCTGTCCATGGCCCGGGAGATGTATGCCGTGGTGGAGACCAAGGAACAAGGTCGGGTAGGACACGCTGGCTCGGCATCGCAACGATCTCCAACTGGAGCGGAGCCCATAATCCTCCAACAGGCCTTCAGCCTGCAAGATGCCGCCGAAAAGCGCGCGGCTGAGAAGTTGGCCAGCATGCAGGATGAGACAGCCATCTACCGGGAATATTATGGTCTTGAGCCTCAGCCCACCCGGTCCAGCTTGCAACCCCGCAGACGCAGAACGTCGTTTGATACAGACGTCTCCAGCGGGGACGCCGATCGAACTTTAGAGATTCGACATCAAATGTCCAGCCTTCGATCGAGACTCAATGCTGTGGATGAGAGAAGGGAACAGGACCGCGCACTCTTGATGGAAGCGGCAAGGAAAAATGTCGATGCCACCATTCAAGACATGGAGATGAGGGTCTATGCGGAGACCGGTCGCGCACCTCCATCTATGCAGAAGGAGATCGAAGAGGCTGCACTGGCACGTGCGATGCTTGAAAGGCAGGAGAGACAAGAAGCAGACTCGCAATACCAGGGGGTCGACCGAGTGAATATCAGTTCCAAGCGCTTTGTGGATATGTCCGACGTAGAAGCTCTGGCTCGATCCCGGTTACAACCCACATTTGACGAAATCACCGACCGGGCTGAAAATCAGCGCGCCAGGGAGCTCGAGCAAAGATTGGACCAGGAAGAAGCCCATCGTCGAGAAGCCATGTATCGCGAACGTGAAGTGGAGACCAAAGCTGAAGAGAGACGGCTGAGGGGTAAGTAAATCCGTCTGGCATGAATATTACTTTATTCGTTACGATATCTCTAACTGTGGTACAGATTCTTTGAGACTCGAAAACAAGCCCAAAGACGAGAAGAATTGGCTATGGAAGAGAAAGCCGAAGCGTTCGTCCGATCATGAGGAAGATACGGCCGCTGGCGCATCAGTCGGAGCGGCCGATGAACTATCCGCCGAAGTCGTACCACAAATAACCACCAATGCAGATGCCAGTGCGACTGCTACAGGCGCGGTGGCTGAGCCCACTTCAAGCGAACCTGTGGCCAAACCTGAATCTAAATTCAGGTCGTGGTTCAAAGGCCGAATGGGGCGTCGTTCGAGCTCAAACCAGACTGAAAACCCTAAGGAGTCGCAAGAAGCCAAGTTTGGTACTGATTCGCCCGATACTGCAGCCGCTGCGGTAGAAACAGGACCCGAGGAGACAGGTGAATCACCTGGCGCCGGCGAGGCCAGAGAAAACCAGGCTTTGAACGCATCCGATCGCGGTCAAAGTAGAGCGTGGGACATCGCACATCCTGAGGGTACATCTCAAATGTCAGAGCTTCCAGCCACGGCTGAAGTTCCACACGAAGGGATTCTGGAAGAGGAACCACAAAAGACGATGCTCAAGTCCCATCCCATGACGGGAAACGATGATGGTAGTTCAGAGCAACCTAATCGTATCGAGGCCGATGTGGTCCAGCAGGCATCTAATGCCAAAGACATTCCTACTGGTGAGACAGGCCGCAACCGGCTGATGTCTGGCTTTAAGAAAATGGTCTCGAGAAGCTCAACCGAGGCGAAGAAAAGTGGGGGTGTCGGTCATGATGTGGCTCGAAGAAGCTCAGAGGCGATCCCCAAGCAAACTGTAGAGGAAGCAGACCGACGTGCGAGTGTGCCTGAACATGGCCTAGGACTGCCCTCGTCTGCTGGGAAACGAGCCAGCGATGGCACGGGACGAGAATCGCGATTCTCGGAGCGATTGTAACATGAATTCGGGTACCGCTTGTTGATGTATCGTTTGTTTCTTTTCTCCGATGATTAATTTATGTTATTATTCTCTTTTTTTTTTCTTCTTCTTACCTGAGGGATTCTTTTCGGCGGTTTTCCTTGTCATCCTTGTCAGGGGGCATGTACAAGATTCCTGAGGACAGCCTGATTGATGAGCCTGCTGGCCTGCGTACTGGAATCATGACATTCTATAGTTGTATGTAATATTTGGATTGGATGTATTTGGATTGGATGTGAAACGAGTAGAATGTCTTGACATTTATGATGATGATTTTCGGAGGGAATAGTGAGTTGCAGCTTGCAAGTATACAAAGTAACTACACTACTGAGCTAAGCTAAGCGGTGTATGTACTGTACTCCGTGCAAATCGGAGTACGTCGGTATCACATTCCCCCGATCTCCCACCACTCACTCACTCAACGCTTATCCATCTTCCCTCCTCCGTCTTCAAAGTCGTCATCTTCAAGTTGACACTACATCTACATTCCATTTTCAAACAGATGGCTGCAACCCATAATCGCCAGTCGAGTATTGACCTCGACTCGGCTGACCGACCATTTGACAACATTATCAACTTCCGGGATGTTGGCCGAACCATCAACCAGTTGCTCGGCCGACGGTGTGTACATACTGCATAAAGCATATACAGCCATCCCCGCTTGTGACACATGCTAATAGCTGCGTACAGGGTCCTTAAGGAAGGTCTTCTCTACCGAAGTGCCAGGGTAAGGTAACTGCTGCCCCTTGACTGTCGATGGTTCCAGATATCCATTCCGAGGATGGATGACCGGCTGCTTGAGACGAAGAGACCTTTTCCTGAGACCACTCCAGTGGAAACTAAGATCACCTCTTCTCTGTGTATTTCAGTTAGATGATGCGTCCGAGCGCGACAAGCGTCGTTTGGAAGAGGAGTACCATATCTCGACCATCATTGACCTTCGATCCAGGTAGGTGTCTAGCGCATGACGCAGCGCAATACCACCACCCATGGAAAAGCCATACATAATCATCAAACTAAACCCTGGATCCTCAGCACCGAACACCACATGGCTGCCACGAAACATCTTTCTGAATCTGAGACCCCCACCCACGCTTTTTGCAATGCGGCCAGCGACGATACCGAAATTGTCTCGGCAGCTGCACCTACCACGTCTTCTTCTGCAGCGAGCGCCGCCGCCGTCACCACCACCACGACAGCGACGGCCAATCCTGATAACATCCATCTAGTTGACCTCCCACATGCACAACGCCACTTGGTCAGTCTCACTGGCAGAGCCTTCGAGCGAACCTTACTCTGGCGCCTTGATTGGTGGAACTTTCTGTAACTTTCCCTTTCTCCCCTCCCTTACTCCCTGCCCTCATTCGCTTCCAAACGCAATTGTCAAGCAAAGATAAATCAAAAGTGGAACGCGGCCGGCAAGATAGACCCATCGCTAACCAGTCTTTCGCGACCAAAGAAAAGTCATTGCTCTCGCAGCGTCCGGCTACCGGACCGACGCGGTAATCATTGTGGGTCAGCAGGTCATGTCTCCCCGCGGCCTCATCGGGCTCGGCATCGATACGCTTGACAGTAGCTTTGGCGAGATGAAAGAGATCTTCGAAGTGCTTGCCGGTGGTGGTGAGACGTCGGTTAGCTTAGATCATAGCACAAGCAATGGTAGCACCAGCTCCTCGAATGCCGCATCCCCATATCCTGTCATCGTCCACTGCACCCAGGGCAAGGACCGCACGGGCCTTATCATCCTTCTGCTCTTGCTTCTGACGGGTACTGTACCCCAGAACGCCATTCGGGCCGACTATGTCCTGTCCGAGGGGGAGTTGGTCGTCGAGGCGGAGGAGCGGATGAAAGAGATCCGAATGCTGGGGCTGTCGGAGGATTATACTAAGTGTCCCGAAGGGTTCACCGCACAGATCTGCGCGCATCTTGAGAGTAGATATGGGGGCGTGAGCGGATATCTGAAGCAGGTGGGTATTGACGAAGTAAAACTGGAGCGAATTAGGAAGAATTTACTTGCATGATACTCCCTGGATTGAGTCTCAATGTGATAGGATTTCCCACAAGGCAGCATATAGATGACTACGGACCAGGTTATAGTCCTGAAGAACATGAGCCAACAATCACAATATGGTGCCTGGTAGCAAATGATCTGATATTCGGACATATCATGTCTTAGGCTTGTGGTATATGTATAGTAAGGTGATAACGCAATTAGCAAGATGGTCAGGATTTACACTGGATATGACTAGAAGACAACAGGAAAAACGAAGCTGAGAAATATGCCAAAAAAGATTTCCGCATGAGACTCCAACCCAGAAACAAATTCGCAGGGTATCACAGCATTATGGTCTTGTCTCACGTGTTTGAATAATATATGTGCACTGTATGTTTTAAGTTTCCCTTTCCAAGTTGAGAGGCTCCTGGTCGGTCTTCAAATCCGCTGACCCCTATAATAGTTTGCATTCGGACCTGCGGAGTCGGTCGTGACGGGTTCCTCATAAGTCCCTCCGTCGCTGCTGTTGCTGGCATATGCATGCCCATTCCTGCTCATCTCAATCCGCTTCTCGCCCTGCGGCACATGTTTCCGGGTGCGAACTGAGGGTAGCAGGTCGATAACGAAGGATAGAACGTAGAATGTGAAAATCAAGGCAATCACTGTGAATCAACCTATGTCAGTCATGTGGCCCGGGTCTGATATCCCGCAGATAATCAACTCACCCCATTCCAAAACCGCAGCAGCATTGCGATAATGCCCGCCCTTGTTTCCCAACACTCCAAATGCAATTGCTAGCGCAATCTCGATAATGACAAAGGAGAGCTTAATGATGAAACTGGCCAGAAGGACGCGATGCTGGGAACGGTAGAAGATGCCTAGTCGCCAATATTCGCAGCAGATGAAGATTGCGCTGATGAGGTAGCCAACCCTGAGTTTATGGTGTTAGTTAGGCTAAAGCCTCTTGTTCTTACGGGTCTCTTCCGTATGCCGCAACCCAGCAATGTCAATGTTCGAAAAGTGGGCTCAACTCACAAGAACATCACCAAAAATCCATCATGCATATGCGGATGCCGTAGCGTATCAAATATGGACAATAGGATCAAGCCCAACGCACCGGCGATGGAGAAGCAAATCGAGGCAATAGCGCAGGATTTGTCGAAGAGGCCCTTGTTGGGTACCAGTTGGCCAGCATGGCGGAGCCATCTTTCGGACAGAAAAGAGAGGTCGAGGAAGACGACGGTCACGCAGCTGCCTGCGATGAAGAGGGGCTTGAGCCCCTGAGCACCGATATCAGATATGTAGCTAGAGAATTGCCAGAGATGACTTGATTAGTTTACTGTACCCACCGACAACGTTGAAGACTGGCCTTTTCCGAACGGGCACGAGGCATATACTCACGCGATTGTTTGGCCTGTTTCCATACTGGCGTATATGGGGCTCCCTTCCCGAGCCCAGGTCGCCAACATGGCGATTAACATGGCTAAATCAGGCAGTCAATTGTTTAGCGATTGTAGCTGATACTTGAGATGCAATATGATAAGCTGCGTACCGATCCAGGTACATGCTGAAATGACCGGAAAGACCCAGAATGAGACAATCCACATGTTCAGTACAGTATCCTTCCACCGAATCGAATGACTTTTCCGTATTCCTATAATGGATAGATGTGCTTTTTTTGAAGAAAAGTCGTGCAGTACGACTTCTGGTCAAGCAATCGGCTGGAACGGAGTGGGCGGAAGTGGCTTAAGCCTGCCGGTGCAGTGCCAAGCTTGAACCTGGAAGCAAGCCTTAGGCGGTCGCGTGCTGCTTGCGGAGGGGTTGGCTTGTCTAATTGTTTGATATTTGTTGAGATGAAATGACTGGAAGAAAGGAGACGATGAAGAAGACTTGAAGGAAGAATGAGGGAAGAAAGGGAGGTAGGGGGGAAAGGGGAGAAAGTGGAGGTAATTATCAAGTGCTGTGCTGATAAAAGAAGAATCCATGACGACGACGAAGGCAGAGAGACCCACCGATCATGGGCAGTAATAGTAGTATAAGTTAATCGGTCTCTTTCTGGGCATCAGCACCATGCATGGTTTAGTTACTCCGTATAGTTAGTTACAAAACGGGTACATCCCGAGGGAAAGCCATGACTTCATCGACGTCATCGTTCGTTTGACACAGTTCTTCCTCCTCTTCCCACTTCCAATGAATCTTCTTCTACTCCCTACTCAGTATCCCCCATTGGTTTGTGATTCGTCTCGATCGGTCTTCTTCTTCTTCCCCTTCCACTTGCGGGATAAACACTTTTGCAGCTCTCATCTTCTTGGCTGGCTGACTGGCTGTCCGCAGTTCCGACCTTTCCCTCCTCATACAGTAATTGACTATGTAGTACATAGCGAACTAAATTCAACATGACTACGCACCGGCTAGGCAAGTTTCTTAAAGACAATAGATTATGAGTTGTTATAGCTAAGGACTCTGCAGTCTAACAGATCTCCAAGACGTCTTTCTAGGTTCCAGGGCACAAGCTATTGAGGAATTTCAAGGACGGCTGCCGCGCTGACGACTTTCTCGCCCAGATGACACCCGCGTTGGCATGCTGCTGAGCACTCGCCCCTTTGCTCCGTCTACAATGGGCGCTTCTTCGCTACTGTTCTCCAAATAAGTGCTCTGGTTCCCCCCGATCTCGCGGAGATATGTCTCTGTCGCCCCGGATGGCCGCCCCTGCGCTATAAATCCGTTCTTTGCGCTGCTGGAAGAGTCGTCAAAGACACTCCGATGGTTGAGCACGAACATCTTTCCTGATCGACCGACCGATCCGAGCCGAGAATCTGACGGGTATGGGGATGTGGGATCCATCGGGTATGGAGGCTGATAGGATGGTACCCATTGAGTATCATTGGGGGAGGGCTCGACGGCCGGTCTCCGCATAGATCCAGAATTGCGAACAAGAGCCGCCGACGGAATTCGCTCGAGTGAACACGCTGGCTGGAGCGAAGATATAGGCGAGGTGTGATTAAATTGAGAGCGAGTAGATGGCGCTTGGGGGCTGCCTCCGGCCCCGAGAGAAGCACCTGAAGTCCGTGCCCAAAAGGCATAGGCACTGTTGTTGTTCGCCAAGAGAGACGGCCCGTGCTTGTTGGGGGACGGCATATTGAAATTGCCATATGGTGCATCCCCAGTGACTCGTCTGCTGGGACTTTCAGGAGGCCTCAAGTGGCGAGTATCGAAGGACGTCCCTTTCGGTCTGTTGCTCGACCCTGTTCGCTTGCGCTCGATCGCTTCCAGCTCCCGTTTTGACAAGCGCACGTTTCTCTGGCCCTGAACTTGTGCGCGTCGTATCCGGTCGAGAGCCTGATTCACTAACCGCTCCTCCTTGTCCTTCAGGGCTAACTGCACTGCATAGGCCACCGTGCTGTCCATGTTATCATGTAAGTCATAGTCCATCTCATCGACTGGTGCCGATTTGTCTTCGTAGTAGTCGTCATGCTCTATCATCCGCCTCCGCCAACCCGAATCTCCATCAATGCCCCGTTCCACTGATTGCCTTGCGTGCAATAAGCGTAGATTTGGGCGACTGTATACATCCTCCTCTTCACTATCAAATCCGTCGATCCTCGAAGTCTCATCCACCCACGGAGCCGCAAGTCTCCCGGTTTGTCTCCCCACTCGTGCCCCCGGTGGTCTTCCCCATCGGGGCATACCGTAAGGAGTTCGCGGCCGACCACCTAGACCGCCTCCTCGGAAAAAGCATTCTCAATAGGTTTATCCATAAAAGCGGCATGGCCAAAAACGGCCACGCCGGTGGCTCCAATCAGCCAGAGGACAGTAGCAATGGGTGACGCCCAGAAGCCCAGAGGAACCGCCACAAGTAAAAGTCCGGTGTACAGCTGGGAGGTGTTGAAGCGGGCAACACCCAAATCCAGGTCTCGGCCCTGAAGCTTGCCGATTCCGTAGAGACCACCTGTCACGAAGATAATGACAAAGAGCAAGACCGGATTGGTCAGCAAGCTGTAGATACTAAGCATCACAAAGACGGCGGCATAGTTGCTTGAGAAATATGACAGATTGTAATTCACCCGGCTCTGAACCTCGCCAAAGTTGGCCGGCTTTGAGATACGCTTGACATCCAAGAACTCGGATACTGGTCGGAGATTGGCAAAGCGCGTACTGAATGACTGGGAGCGAACGCTGTTAAAACGGTCGCCAAATCGCGACGTGATCGCATCGATCGGAAATTGGAGGGGACTCATGTTGGGTAGTCAAGAAAACAGAGGTGGAGGGGACAACTGTGAAACAAAAACTTGAGTTGATGAAATTAGCAGCTCGAGGCAACAATAGTGGACAATAATGATGAAAGAAAGGAATTATGGAGGTCAACACGACTAGAATTCGAGGTGTAGGCAGGTAGCAAAGAAAAAGGGGGAAGAAGATGCGACAGAAGAGATGCACAGGAGGAAATCCCACGATTGAACTGAACTGGCTTAGTTGGCCCAAAGGCTCCAAGCCCAGCCAGTCCGTTTTGGTCACCCGGGGGTGCGGGAAGCCAAGCACGGACGGACACAGACAAGCGTAGCCCGGGACTGTAGTAATGAATTGATAATTTACTGTTCAATGTAGACGCTAGAGAGCACAGGACAGTGCTTTCGAGAACATCAAGTCAACCTGACGGGCAGGCAACAGAAGGAAGAAGAGAAGGTGAGGAAGAAAAAAATACAAGAATCAAGTACTGTGTAGTAGTTAGTGCTTTTTTAGAGAGAAGGTGACGAAAGCAGAACGAAGACCGAGTGTTCGGGCTCTAAGAATAGAACAGACAACCAAGAAAGAGCATGGTGTGGAGAGAGTTGAGGAAGATGATGCTGGATGCAGCAGCGTGCTGGCAACCAAGCAGGTCACAAAGATTACTACCAATCTCGTAGTCGCTCGACCTCAACCTCGACCGTGTGTTGTTTTCTTTGTCGTTCAGTTCCCTGAGTCCCGGCCGATATTGACTAGTAGTCGTTTTGTTCAGGTACGTGAGGTTCGCGGGAAGTTGTGGTTGGAGATGTCAAGAACGAAATGACAACTTTATGGGAGAGGGGAGATAGAAAGGTGATTTTGGCGACCGAGATGGGGCTTTCTGACTCTTCCCTTTGGAGGAGTCGAGGACTCTCTGGCTGTCCTTTTTATTTGTCAAAGATCTCCTCATTATGCATCTGAATGTACCGGAGTACTGTGTACTCCGTTAGTACATTCCATTTCTCTACCTGACAGGTCAGTAGCTAAAAGTTCATTCATTATTGGTCCACGTCGTGCTGCGTCCGGGTAAATAGTTCTCGCATAGTAGTTTCAATCACACCTCTCTGCCTCTCGTGTACTCAGGAAAAGTACTCGCCCAACGCACTGCCAGCCAAGGATCGATGTAGGCGGTGAGAGGCGTGGGCGGCTTGAGCTGACGGCAGAACGTCGACAGACCGCTTTTTTTGCCCGATGCCAGATAAGCTAGTCGTCCAGCGGATTTTTGGTGACTTGAGGATCCGTGCTCAATACTGACAATTTGTCGCCTCGAGCAACTCACTCGCAATGAAATATCATTGACACATATATTTGCACTTTTGGTCTCATTTCCAATCATTCTCTTTCCCTGTACTGGGCTTAGCGGTTCGACCGCTGCATATCCCCACCATGAAGCCCTTCTCACTCCGTCTGCTCATGTTCGCTGCTCTATTTGTCCTTGTTGCGGCTTGGACCAAAGAAGGTCGGGCACACATTCTTACTCTGGTCACCTCAAATTATAACTCCCTGCTAACATCAACGCTCTTTCAGACCATGAAATATTCCAGCTGCGTGATGAGATCCTGTCAAGAGAAGGCGCGAATGTGACTTTCTACGGTACACCTCTCCTATTCATCCCCTTGCTCGCTTGCTGCCAGTTTCAACGAATCTAATCCATGTATAGACGTCTTGGGCGTGAAAGCGAATGCCAATCAAGATGAGCTGACCAAAGCCTACCGTCAGAAGTCGAAGCTACTTCACCCCGACAAAGTCAGACGATCGTTCATTGCCAACAGCTCCAAAGATAAGTCACGAGCGAAAAACAACAAGGCAGGTGTCCACGTCAATAAGGGCCCTTCAAAACGTGAAATTGACGCAGCCGTCAAAGAGGCCCATGATCGCGCGGCCCGTCTGAACACCGTTGCCAATATTTTGCGTGGACCGTCTCGCGAGCGCTACGATCATTTTCTCAAGAATGGATTCCCGAAGTGGAAGGGTACCGGATACTACTACTCACGATTCCGCCCGGGCTTGGGCTCTGTCCTGGCTGGGCTTTTCCTGGTTTTTGGAGGTGGTGCTCATTACGCCGCTCTTGTGCTGAGCTGGAAGCGCCAGCGGGAATTTGTAGATCGGTACATTCGTCAAGCCCGCAGAGCTGCATGGGGTGATGAGACGGGTGTCGGAGGGATTCCTGGATTGGATGGTGGTATTGCTGCCGCAACTCCCGAATCAACTACACCAAACCTGGAAACTGAGCCCAGTGCTTTGCCAATGAATCGCCGTCAGAAGCGCATGATGCAAAAAGAAAACCGCAAGGAGGGCAAAAAGAGCGCCGGTCGGACAACCACCGGTCGCAGCTCCGGGACTGTAACACCTACCGCTGAGGCCGTGGAGCCCACCGGCGAGAGGAAACGAGTCATTGCGGAAAATGGGAAAGTTCTCATCGTGGATTCCGTTGGTAATGTCTTCTTGGAGGAGGAGTCGGAAGATGGAGAACGCCAAGAGTTCTTACTCGACATCAATGAGATCCCGCGCCCTACCTTCTGCGATACTATGGTAGTTCGCATGCCCGGTTGGGTCTATCAAAAGACCGTTGCCCGAGTGCTTGGCTCGCACAACACCGTAGCCGATGAGTGCGATGATATTGCTGAGATAACTCCAGATTCCGTGGATGCGATCAGCTCGGGTCCAACTTCCGGCAAGGGCGCATCTAGGCGAAGAGCGAGGCGCACACAAAAGTTTTGATCTTCTGGACCATGTCTTGAAAGTATGGTTTGATCGTCACGTCCTATTTGGGGATTTCCTTCTGGATTTGGTCAGACGGAGGTTGACGCGCCCGATCTTATGTATACTATCCATTCGATTACAGCTGATTAGTTATGAGTACAGTGTTCTGAATACATTCAGTAGCTAAGAAATCTCCATTCGAGTGAATTGTTGATAAAAGGTCCTATTCCTATAGCATTGCACCAGATTCGGCAGTTTCTCACGCAACGGCTACCTTATAATGGCAGAATAGCCGCGGATGCTAGCAAGGGAATTACTCGAATTTATTCGCGCAAGTCCGAAAGTCCAAAAGAACAAAGACGAATCAAACAAGGGGTCATCATTTTCGTAGTCATATCCAGTCATCGCTCAATGTCCAAAGCCCACCATATCTTTCTCAAAAGCGAAATCGTAGGTGGAGTGTACACGTTTGGTTTCATAGACACACCAGGTGTCCATATCGAAAAGGCAGAAGCTCCATGCGTACGAGCTACATGAACATCTTTGCGATATTCATCAGACCGGTAATATTGTCGGAAAAGCCGAACCCGCCAGGTCGTGCCCCGGATCCGCCCGTGAGGTTCTTTGGTAAACGAATACCGATCATGCCTAGTAGCTTCTGCACGACGCCAGTTGTGAGGAGGGGAATCACAAGTAGCATCAAAACCTTGATAGGATGATCGCGTGCATAGTTCCAGGCATCGCGAAATATGCGTCGAATGATGTGAATGATCCGTGCGACAAACCCTTCGCGTGGTCGCGCGCGCCGCGAAGATGAAGAGGAGAATACCGACGGGCTGGATCGTCCTGCGCGATTGACACCACTGCCTAGGCTGAAGACTGAGGGCGCGGAATGGCGGGCATTATAGGATGAATATTTAGAACGCCGGGAGGAAGAGGAGCGTCGACGAGACTCATGTTTGTGAGATGAGGTAGAAGACGGGGCTATCCCGTCAAACCAGCCCATTGTGAATTCGATTCACTCAACCCGGAGTTGCTTTCTTGCAACCAATGGCGCCTTATGGGGTCCTTGCTCCTCCGCCGAGCAGACTATTGGAGGAGTTACTTGGACCTGGCGATACAAAGAAGTCGGGTGTGGTCGTCAGCTCTGCAGATGATGGACACAATTAGAAAATGAGGCCAGCGCGAGGCACAGGAGTTAGTTAAAGCTCCTTAGTAATGGGACAGGAGGTGTTCTTCCCGAAACCAAGAACTTGAAGTGGGAGGCGCACAAAAGACTAAGTAGGGAATCGCCGAGTCGACCGGGGCTAACTACCCCTAAGTACGGAGTATGTATGGACTGTCTGCAGACAGCCTGAGGTGAGATGGATGCCTTTCCAGCCCCTCTTCCGCAGCAGTTGGCTTCGCACGAATACGAAGGCAAAGTCTATCAGTACTAAGCATTCATGTTGGTGAACCAGAAGACATCAATCATTTCTGGGAAAAAGACAGAAATAGCCCAAGCGTCGTGGAAATCGCAACACGTGATATTGGTTAAGTACTATTAATTCTACCTCGGAATGATTCCCTAAAGGTGGTTACAAGACCTCAAGAAAACCGACATTGAAGCTGAATTGTAGCTCCCGTTCCTGGCATAGTTAATGAGTTAACTAGTGAACTAGGAGACATTAGTCATTTCTGAAATAAGCAATTTCCAACTCTCGGTGCCTTAACGGAGTAGGGCAAAGTTCAGGCCCCCAACCCGCTAACTATCGACGTCATGGTTGGGTCGAGTGGTCTAGTGGCTCTTCCGCCGCATTGACACTCCCAGTCACTGCTTTATTCTCACACGTACTCCGTATCGTGATAGCCTTTAGCGTTGTGAAATTTGGCGACATACGTTATCGTTTGGTCTAAATCATGACGAGTAAGTACATATTATCTGCCTCCGACAGATCTGCGCCGAGTCCATAACTCACTTCTTGTATCAGGGCAAAGAGACCTTTGTAAGTGGCAACCATAACCTTGAAGTCACATTAGCAACAGACTAACTTTGCCACTTATACAGACAAAGTGCTGGGAGTCTCTCCTAAAGCAAGCCAGCAGGAGATTCGCAATGCGTACAAACGGTGCGCCGCAGTGCTGAACTACTTAAAGCCCAACAGCACTGACAAATAAATAGAGAGTCGCTGAAGTCACACCCCGATAGAGTGCCGGCCGACTCTCCTGAGAGACCGGCCCGGACTCGTAGGTTCCAGGAAATCAACGATGCGTATTATACCTTATCGGATCTATCACGTCGGCGCGAGTACGATGCGACACGATTAGCAGACGAAGTAGACGAAGGATATGACATGCCTCAAGGAGGTGCTGGTGGTTTCCCATGGTCCACTTTCGGTTTCGGCTCGACTACTGATAGAGAGCAACGGGCATCGGAGCAATTTGGCTCCGTATTTGAAGAGATGCTGCGCGAAGAAGGGCTTGCGAGCGATGGCACCGATGCGGACGGTCGCACACAAGCCCGCCCTACGTCACGCTTCTGGTCTATTGTCGGGGGTGTCAGTGGTGGCGCACTGGGCTTCATCATCGGTAATGCTCCTGGGGCGCTTGCTGGAGCCGTTGCTGGTAATCGTCTAGGAGCGGTACGAGACGCGAAAGGAAAGAGTGTTTACGAGGTCTTTTTAGAGCTGCCTCAAACCGACCGTGCTCGGCTATTGAGTGAACTAGCTGCCAAAGTATTCCAGACTACAATGGGTCATTGAGAGTCCCGCAGTATTGGTCATTTATGCCTAAGTACAGCAGCTCTGTGCGCTCATGATCTTTGTCCATACTTTCATGCTGTTGGTGTGGGACACCAGTCTTGTGGGTCGTCCTATCTTTAATGATCCTTTCTATAGTTTTTGTTCATTATACTGCCATCTCTGCAAATAGTAATCCGATACAGTCCTTCTCAGAGATGGTGCTCATCTACATGAATGGGCTAATAATCTACAGTATGTCTGTCATATATGTATGTAGTACGGACGTACGTGCAGTATCAAGGTTATCGATAAGACATAGAGACCCACGTGGATCCCAGCCCGCCTCTCCGGGTTCCTTACCGCCTTGTCTGGACACAGCGCTGATGCCTGGTCGCACGGGCAGCCCGCCTGGAGGCAGCTCCCAAAACAGCCAAGTGTCTAGACCCCGCTAAACCCCCTCTTCCCCCTTCCTCTACCGCATGCGGTTCCCCTGAATTTATCGCATTTACAAAAAAGCCGATTGTGTCCCTCAGATTACTACCGGGTGACTTTTTTCTCTTCGCCCGTATACCGAAACTTCAAGATCGCAATTGAGCTGGCATCATGGCTGAAAGCGCAAGTGTGTTTCCTCCTTTGGAGAATCGTCCATTGAAGGACACAATCTGCCTCTTTGATGTTGACAACACATTGTCCCTCCCGAGAAGGGTGAGTACTCAAATTTCACTGATGTCAGGAGCTATGAATCTGAATCATTTGACAATGCTATAATTCTTGTCAAGTAAGTGATCGGGCGTCTGAAGGCTAATTGTTCGTGACTAGGGTGCCATGCCGGAGATGCTGGAACTCCTCGCTCGACTTCGTCACAAGTGTGCTATTGGCTACGTCAGTTCTTCAGAGTGTTGATGCCAATGTATCATCTAATGTTGCCTAGGTTGGCGGATCGGATTTTGCTAAGCAGCAAGAACAACTCGGTTCGGCCACAACGAACGTCACATCTCTCTTCGACTTCTGCTTCCCTGAGAACGGCTTGACTGCTTTCCGTCTTGGAAAACCACTTGCTAGTACCAGCTTTATCGAATGGATTGGTGAGGAAAGATACCAGGAGCTCGTCAACTTCTGCCTCAAATACATTGCGGACTTGAAAATTCCCAAGAAGCGCGGTACTTTCATCGAATTCCGCAACGGAATGATCAATGTCAGCCCGATTGGGAGAAACGCTAGCTTCGACGAAAGAAATGAATTTCAAGCGTGCGTACTCCCTCCTACCCCGCATTTTGAATGAGACTCGAATTCGGTGGACTAACATTATCTGTAGATATGACGACGTGCATCAAATTCGACGGGACTTGGTAGAAGCTCTGAAGAAGAAGTTCCCTGACTGGGGTCTCACGTGAGTCATGGGATAGCCGCTTCGAGATGCCGTTGAGTTGCTTGTTGCTAATCACACTGTGTATCCAGCTACTCTATTGGTGGTCAGATCTCCTTTGACGTTTTTCCCACCGGCTGGGACAAAACCTACTGCTTGAAGCACGTCGCCGCTGAGAAGGAGATTTCAGGTGTGGAATATAAGACAATTCACTTTTTTGGAGACAAATGCTTCGAGGGAGGCAACGACTATGAGATTTACAGCGATCCCAGAACAATTGGCCACGCTGTCCAAAATCCCGATGACACCATGAAGAAACTGAAAGAGCTGTTCCAACTATGAATGCTCTGAGGGCACTCAGAACTGCCATGTTTTATTTAGCTTTTTTCCAATGAAATAATTTGATAAAGACAGGAACTATCTTTAAGTCTGTGTCAAATATCGAGAGAGCACAGTCCATTATCTAGATATGTGTGCAGGGGATTGTTTTAACTTACATGGAGTTAGTTTACTTAATCTCTGAGAGGTAAGTCAACTAAGTTAACTGAGTATGTTAAGTATAATCACATGCGGGCGACCGCCCCGACTTACGGGGTTAGTCATCGCCGACCGGCACCTCATCAAATCATCCTCCTCCACCATAGACCCTTATACATCGTGGATATTGCAACTCTCAATCTGCCCTGGTCTATTGCCAACAATGGCGCCCCAAAAGACGGTTGCGGAGGTGCCTCGTTCCCTTCTTCCCCGTCTTACTTGGAACGGCTCCTTTGCTCGGACGACAATCGCACCGCCGACCAACGCGCTTCCCGCAAAGCGCCAACAACAGAAGCAGCAATCGGTACACCCTTGGAAAAAAGATGGGCAACAGCTACACAGTCGAAGCGGCCTTTCTTCCTTTGCTGTAACGCACTCTTTCGCAATAAGGCAAAGTGCTTTGACGTTGGCGATCGCAAAGCGGTCCGCCTTGGTTCGTCACATAGTCAGCTGTCCAGATGTACAACCCCTCGGTGATCCTGTTCGTTACGACGGAGTATATGTCGCCGCATTCAAGCCTGCTCGACGGGCCTTTCATGCTTCTGCTTCACGACAAAGAGACCACCATTTTGACACACTCAAGTTTGTTCAGCGTTTAAAGGCTGAAGGGTTCAGTGAGGAGCAGGCTGTGGCTATGATGAGGGTCTTGAATGATATCATTGAAGAATCAATCCAGAACCTCACCCGCACAATGGTCCTTAGAGAAGGTAGGTCTCTGTTCTGTTTGTACTTCCCAGGTTTCTTGGAAAACTCATATGTTCTTGTCCAGACACCGAACGATCGGCATACACACAGAAAGTCGACTTTGCCAAGCTCCGCTCTGAATTGCTTAATGCCGACTCAACCGAAGCGCAACTCACACGCTCGTCGCATGAAAAGATTGCTGCAGACCTTGCGAAGCTCAACTCGCGCCTACGTGACGAGATTGGACGCACACAGGCATCGGTGCGCCTAGACCTAAACCTCGAGAAAGGCAGGATTCGTGAAGAGGCAAACGGACAGGAAATGCGGATCAAGGAGACAGAAACACGGATTGAGCAGGAAGTTGCGGGTCTAAGAGAGCGTGTGGAAGCAGTCAAGTTCTCCACTCTTCAATGGCTCATGTAAGTCTCTTCGAAACCTATGGTCGCAGGGAGTATGGTATATTAACCTGTTGCTCTAGGGGTGTCTGCACTGGTACCGCTGCACTTATTTTGGGTGCCTGGCGCCTTTTCATGTGAGGTGCATATGGGGTTGCATAATTGCTACGCCAACCAAAGACAAAAGTCTGTACAGTAAATCTGTATTCATCACAATTTATATTCTTCATTATTATATAGTTTGACAGCGGCGTGCGTCTGTCCAGGATTCAGGACTTTTACTGCTCTCATCTTCAAAAAATTGCCCGGCCGCCATTATAGTGTATGTCGGAGCCTTAAGTACTAATCCCAGCGCCGCTGACAAAACAAGTTTTCCTTGTCGCAATGTAGAAGGGAGTATTTTGCACGACATCGGAGTCATGCACCAGCTCTTGTAGCAGCCGATCATGGATCAAAGGACTCAAACCAAGAAAATCCAGAGGATGACAACCTAGGAAGGAGTATACGAGCAGAAGAGACGGGCTGGGTGAGAGAAGGTGACCTGAGACCAGCGGAGTCATAGTGGCGGGGAGGCCAATGATCTCTTATATCATGCTACCCTATTTGAATCACATTGTTGTACTAGATCCAGAGGCTTTTTCATCAAAAGGGCAACACTGTGGTAAGGCTTTTGTCTCTAGCATTCAGTCGTGACCTGATGGTGATACCATGTGCGACATAATCGGAAAAAGCAACTCACGTAATTTATGGCAAACAGGTCATATATTCGGTGAGGCCGTGTTTCTCTGTTCAGCGGCCTCGGCTCCCAAGAATCTCGCAACTTCGGCATCAGCATCCATCAAGACACTATCAACTTTCTTGTAACGGTTCGGTCTGCCGAAAAGGCATTGCCATAAATCATCTTTTTTCACGAGTTCACCACCTGAAGCACCGCTCGCCATCATTTTGTCAAGCGCCGCATCTTGGATTTCGGACGAATTTGCAGCATCAATCGCTGTTTCGGTCAGGGTGTTGCTTGCGACGCCATGTTCACTCTTCACCGAGGTCTGTGATAATTTGGCTTCGTGCTTTCGCTCTTTCTGCATGATGTGAGCAAGACGACGCGACACAGAGAGGTCATATATCGATTGCTCAACAGTGTCGGAAACCAGGTACATCCAGATGGTGGTTGGCCGATGCTGGCCAATGCGATGTACGCGGGCAATGGCCTGAAGTTCGATTGCAGTGTTGATCAAGGGTTCGCAAAATATAACATTCGTGGCACAAATGAGATTCAGCCCGGAAGAATGAGCCCGGGCGTGGAGGAGGAAGCATTCCAGCTAGGCGATAAACGGCTGTCAGCATTAATGTTCTGGATTAGCACATGTGCAACTTGGGCATGAAGCTCACCGCAGGATCACTTTTAAAGCTCTGTATGCCATCTTTGTTATCAACACTGCTGAACCCAATCTTGAATCGGGATAAGGCAGAGCCTAGAATCTCGAGGAAATTCTTATACTGGGAAAAAACCACTGACTTGGCGCCAGGATCGTGCTCGCGAAGCCACAGTATGTGGCGAGCCAATGTATCAATCTTGGTTCCGAAAGAGCAATCTAGATTGATGGTTCTGATCTCCTCCAGCGTGCTCGAGCTGATATCACTATATATAGAATTTGTTGAGGAGAAGCGTTCAGATGAGGCCTTAGTAGGTGCCTTTTCCTCTTGCGCGACAAAGTTCCGAGGTTTGTATGTGATCTGGTGAAAATCGTTCGCTTTCAATCTCTTCTTACATGTAGGACAAGTTCGGTGCTGATGCCACCATAAGCGTAAGCAAGCTGAACAGTATTTATGACCACACACAGTCAAAACGCCTGATAACTGTAAGCAAGGCCTGGTATAGGCTGGTTAGAACGAAGGCACCTGAACTCACCGATTTCAAACCCTGATTGACATATCACGCATATTCTGGTGGACTCATCCGTGCCCGATTCGTCTCGAAGATGGATTAGGTAGCGGTTTTTTGCCCGTAGGGCCGAGATTTTCTCATCAATAGCGTTTTCTTGAGTGAGCTTTGCCTGGAAGAGGACCTGATCTAATGGTTTTCCGACATTTTCCTCATCGAATGGAGCCACAGTATCAGATATCTGCTGTAACTGGCGATAATACTCAAGGCGATAATTCATGGTGTCCCGAAACATCTCAACCTCTCTCTCAAGGCTTGAGGCGACCTTGGCATGCTCTGCAGCCATAGTACTAGCATTCTTCAATACCAAACTGGCAATTTCCAGCTCCGCCAGAGCTCGAGTGCTTCCCTCAGTTGCCTGCCACTCCAACGATGTGGTCAAGCTACGAAGTTCACTGATGATGCCACGCAGAGAGCCAATATGTGGATCGGGCTTGATACGGCTCCGCTTGTTCATGATGTTCAGGAATAGCTCTGGTGAGGGACCCTCACCCTTCTGGGCTTGAACAATGCCCCCTTTGACCTCATGAGCAATGAGCACATTCCTTTGCCCGGTCAAGCAGTCATGGCGGTCGGCAAACATGGCGCGTAGTGCCTCCATATAGACGTACATTTCATCCTGATGTTTAGTAGATTTTTCGTATTCGTTCCCGTGAAGCTCCGATTCATCTTCCTGGTCAATGAGTGACTGGGACAGAAGATGGATCATGGTCAGACGCCACTCATTGTATTGTGCAGCATGTTTGTTCATAGCGTCGCAGAAGTCTTTAAGCTTTTCTAGCACACGGCGAGCCTCTAAGCCGGTGCTAAAAATACGAGGATTCATCGTGGGTATGACCACAAACCGTTTGCTGCGCAGCATCGCCCTAATTGTTTCCATGTGACTCCCTGCTTTCTTAGACACATCCATCAATATTTCCTTCCGAATGAATTTCGCAGTGGCATACGCCTCCTCTTCCAGTTTCTCAAGGGACTTGAACTCGTCAGACTCAGGGTCAGTGAGCTTGAGGTCTGATTTGATCTGAAAGTACGCATTGCCCATGAAAAACACACCCATATGTTGGACTTCCAGAGCAGTACGTAGCCTCTGACGATAAGTCCCTATGCGATTACCCCTGTCCGTTTCGTCTTTATTGTCATCGATGGATAAGTCAGTCGATGCCAGTTCTTGGTTGGTATTCTCAGTAGGAGCCCGCACTCTCCCAAGCTCTGACTCCAATCGATCCCGGCATTCGGTGACAATTGAACTTGCTCTCTCCAGAGAAGTCCTCCAAAGCTCGAGTGCTTCCTGTTTGCGCATAGCATTTTCCAATAACTGTCCCCGACGAAGTTGGGATAAGAGACGTGACCGTTCTTCTGCGTGTATGAGAACGTCGTTCTGATCAATCATCGCCTCCAGGACCTCTCGGACTGAGCGCAACGGACCATTGTAACCTGTCGCGAATCCTCGACGACGATTTCCAGCCGGATGCAGGCAAGTCTGACGCAGTCTGACGAGCCAACTTCTCATTCTCTCAATTGTTGACGAGTTATTGGGGTTCCAGTCATCATGTAAAGGTGCGCCTAAGATATCAAGGCCGCAGTCTTCACACATTTGCTCATGCAATTGTGTATAGTACTGCTCTTCCACTGTGGTAAAGGGAATTGTGATAACCACCCTTTTTTGAGGTGGTATGTGGAGCTCCCCTCGGATGCGGTTTTTACTGTGTCGAAGGGCAATAGTGCGGACGATCTGTGCCAAAACAGGCCTGAACGATGAACACAGCCGATTCCAAATTGGTCCGCAGAAGGGTTCATATCGCAGGAATAGTAGAAGTCCGAGGAGATCCGTGATATCCTTGCGGATAGGAGTCCCAGTAACGGCCCAGGCCATCTGGCGCGGGATCAAACGTGCAACTTTGGCTGCATTGCTGACGCCACTCTCAATCATCTGAGCCTCATCTAAACAGACTCGCCACCAATGAACCTGAACAAGAGGCGTCTTCCCCGGCTCGAATCTCTTAGCATGCCGAAGGTTTCGATCCGGAGTATTCCCAGAATAATGAATCTCTCGAGCAAGAACATTATAGGTCGTCAGCACGACGTCGTGGTCAGCCACCATATTGACTAGACACTGTTCTGCCATTTCCTGGTGACGGTTGATACCCTCGTAGTAAAAGACACGAAGACTCGGAGCGTGTAGCAATATCTCCTCCCTCCACTGTTCAAGAATCGCGGGCGGTGTTATAATCAATGTTGCACGAGAGGGTATTAAGCCACCATCGGGCCTTGGAGCTTGACTCTCAGATGACAAGTCGCGACGGTTTAGGCACATTAGACTGATCATTTCAACCGTCTTGCCTAAACCCATCTCTTCAGCCAGGATGCCGCCCTGTAAGACTGCCACATATGCGGAAATATCTGTGGTCACAGTCATGAGAAGATGGCTGGCATAACAACGCTTGCCATCAGCATCGGTCATAGCAATGAATGAAGCTGGCAAGTCACTATTCGGTTCCTCTGCAATAGATATTACCTGCCCATCGGGGGATAATCCGACCCCCTCCCTCTGCATAAGCCACCTGACGGCCCGTCTCTGAAAGGGAAAGAGCTGACACTCTATTGAGGCGCATTCGATCTCAGCCGAACTTGTGGGCGTGTCAAGCGGGACATGGACATTGTCGTAGAATTCACTCGGGGACCAGCTCGCCGCCTGCCTTCGCCGTTGATCGTTCTGGCTGTGCGTTGCGTGCTCCACAAGCGAACGGTCGCCCTCTCTCAGAACATATTTTGAAAATACCATCAATGAGGCAGAAGACAAGCGTTTCTTATCTAGAATCTCCGTCGAATCCCGCCACAGGACGACGACCTCCAGTTCAAAGGACTTCCCGTCGGCGAATCGACGCAAAGTTGCCTGATAGCACACAGCCGGCTCGCTCTTGACAAATCTATCGGCACAAGGCAGGCTTCCTGTCAGCTCGCTGCCAATGACGTCAATAATGTCGCGATTGGTGATTGAATCTGAAAAGATAACTTCCTGTCCGGACACTGCTAACAGTTCCAATTGTAGACTTTCAGGGAGAATGAGAGGGTCTGAGGCTGTTTGCACCAGAACAGGGAGGTCTGCATTATATTCAACCGCGTCAACAGATTTTTCTGTAACATTCGGGTGAGCAAAGTTCTATTGAGCTATTTAGCAGACGACTTCAGACTCGCACGTTTAAACCATGTCAGGCTTGTCTTTGTATTAACAGTCACCTACCAATCGTACATGACACCGTGCTAGGGGGATATAACCCAGCGGGGTATTTGAGTCCGAAAGGCCCCTGACTGTCCTCAAGCTCCGAGGCGCTGCAATCAGCTTGCGCCTTTTATTTTGAGGTCCATCGTCTTCGACACAGTCAATCTTTGTGAAGGAAGTAGCCAGAATATCTGGGACAGAACCTGAAGTCCATGAATCAGATGTAAATTCGAGTAACTCGCCGGTAATATTGAGAGTCCCAGGCTACCTGAATAATAAAATTCTGCTCTCGCTGCAGCCATGCTATATTCAGATCCCAGCTAGCTTTAACCTTTGAATCGCTACAGGACGAGAATTAATCTGCGTAGTGACACTCCAGGTGGCGATAGAAGAGGTATCTCATCGAAATGCTTCACGTGCTGATAAGAGATGTCCACCTACCGGGAACTACGGAGTAGTTAGTTAACTAAGTAAGCAAGTCGCTAACGTAATCCACATGCGAGCTGGCCGCCCAAGCGAGTGGGCCGGCCTTGTATTGCATATAAAATAGCCTTCTTTTAAACTTGTATATCTTAACA